TAACAATTCATGGAATTTCGATGAAAAAATAGAGAAATAAATAATCAATGTTATAGCAGTAGATAAGCAACTGACAAACATCCATGACTCAAATACTTCAAATAGGATTTTATAGAAGCAATAGGGTACATATTTGCTTGACATCAAAATTTGAACTCATGGAATTTTCAAGAAGACAAACAATTGAGCCCTCATTAGATTGAGCGGGAGCAAGTAAGGGTTACCTACAGATTGTGACGAACTACTCAGTACCCATGATTGGTTCTAAGTGGTCATACCTATATCCACATACACGTACATCCATGTAAGTTTCTACAATGCTAGGTTATATGTTTGCTTGACATCTACATGAATCTATATGCGATATATGCTCATGAACGAACAACAAGGACAACAAATTTGTTATAGTTTGCTACAACAAAGAGGTCCCTAACTTGCATAAATTAGATCTAAAATGATTGAATACAAGTCTAGTTTTTAGAACATCGAAGGGCTTTTGATTGAGCACAATATTCATGGAGATGTTGCCTTATAAGTGCAAGTGCATCATCATGTAACAGCATACAAATTTCAGATTTTATGTCCAAAGTCTCTCACTGGTTTTGTTCAACCAAAAATTATCAATACTTGATTAAATTTTTACTGGAAGAAGATGAGTCTGTTTATAGAAATAGAAGTTTTATTTATTTAATTCCAACTAGAATAAAAGTTATATGCAAAACAATACATGATGGTCAGGCTATTTTTCTATTGCACACGCATTGATTTTAGCTTAGGAGTTGAGATGACAAATGATATCCAAAGTAGGCCGAACCAAATTCAAATCAAAGATATTTAAATATAGTTTCACAAATAAATCTTAAAGGGAGTATTTCAAATGTTAACATCAAGCTATATATTAATATGTGCAGTCTATCCAACCCATTAACCAGAGCCAAATTTATTTCAAAATTAGATTTAGAAACTAAGACTTATGCACTATGATATCTTTGTTAAATAAAAAGTACAAAGATGGTGGCTTTAGACTTTATAGAGCCATGCATGAACGGAGAAACCACCTTTTCCAACGAGCAAGTGCTAGATTCATAATTTTAATGTCTGCATGACTAAACTAGTATTAGATCATGATCTCATATTCGACCTCAAAAGAATCATCAAGACAAGAATGATATTGAATATATGCCTAATAGAGAAGGTTGAGTCTCCTTCTCCAAAAACCAGCTAGCCACTTGAGCTTATTTTTTCTACTACTTGAGAAAGAGAAGTTGAAAGATGAATTTTAATGTAGTTTTTGGGTTGTTTTTGACTTGAAGGATGACTAACCAAGGGAGGAAGAGAGGAGAAAAATGATTATATCCTATTGTTCTTTCAATCATTTGATTTTATTCATATAGTTATTTATATTTCCAAAATTCTGTCCTTTAGATTCAATTGATCTTTCAATCATATGAGAAACTTAGGTTTTCATCTTTTTCTTGTCTTTTACAAGTGGTTGGTGTATTCCGGAGTAGGAAGCTGGTTGAGTCAAGAACAATGGATTTGCAAATATGTTGGTTATCTTTTGGTTTGAAAGTAAATTTCAGTTTTAATTTTTTTTGCACAAGATCATAAATTATGTAAATTATTACATGATATATTCCACAAATCTATGTTTTAAAAAAGAAAAATAATGAAAATTAAAGGCTTAGGTATATAATTTAGATTTGGTTATTGTCCAAATAGTGTGCTGCCCGTAGGGGTGTTAACGGAGCGGATACGGTTCGGATATGACATTTACCATACCCATATCAGCTTTTTGTAAATGGATATGGATACGGATACATATTATCTTCGGTAAGAAAAAACCTCAACCATATTCGCACTCATCAGAAATGGATATAGTTCGGATACGATCACGGATATGAAACAGATATTCAACAAATGGATATGAATCGGATATGAATTAGTACCCCTATGTATAAATTACAACCAAATACTATTAAAAGTATATTCAATAAACATGACAAGTCCATGAGATTCTTAACTTTGCCCTCTATATAAGCTCTTGACTGATAAAAAATTCACCGAAACTTAGTTTACCAACAAACATTCAATCATGTGATACAAACTAAGAAGCTAGAGTGAAAAACAACTACGCCAAGCATGGCAAATCAACATGATGCAAACAAAAGTTGCGAAAAGTTCATACCAACAAATAAATGGAGGAAATTTGATCATAAATTTTATTTATGTCTTCCGTGAATCTATCTACTCCGTGACTACTATCAGCGCCTAAATGTGTTGTATGCTTCTATTCTATTTAATGTCTACTGGAAATCCATCTATTCCATGAGAACTATAATGGTGTGTGCCTTTTCTCTCTCTCTCTAATTGTCGGATCGCAACATCTTGATCTTTCTCCCAGTCTACAGTTCCAATCTTCTCTTCCACTCCACCAGAAAATCTAGGACTTTACTCTTATACTTCATGGTGTACACCCACCAACACCTAGAATAGTCATCTACAAAAGTGACGAACCAATATAGACCAGCAAGTGATGCCGTCTTGGTGGGACCCTAAATATCTGTGTGCATATAGTCCAACATGCCTGGTGTCCTATGTATGGCTATCCCAAACTTCACATTTGTCTTCTTGCTAAGAACACAGTGCTCACAAAAATCAATCCTCCCACTCTTGGCTCCCTTCAATAGCTCCTGCTTCCCTGCTTGCACAAAGTCTGCAGTGGCTTTTTACCTGTGTGCCCTAACCTTTAGTGCCAAAGTCTGCTCACGTCCTCGTCTGAAACATCTGAAGCTACCTGGCCAATCTTGATGCTTCCCTTCAGATAATAAAGATTCCTACTGCATACTCCTTTCAGCACTACCAAAGATCCCTTAGTAACTTTTTCTACAGTGTTCTCAAGTCACATTGAATCCTTTTGCATCCAAAGCTCCAACAGAAATAAGATTCTTCTTCAACTGAGAAACAAATCTTACTTTATTCAGCTCACGAACAACTACATTGTGCATCCGAATCCTGACAGTACCTATCCCACAAATATCACAGGATTGTTCATTTCCCATGACTACTACGCTCCCATCGAGCTTCTCGAATGATGCAAACCAATCTCGCTAGGGAGCACATGATAAGTAGTACCAAAATCTAGCATCCAATCTGATGCATCCACATGATTCATATCAGGAGTAATCAATAGAGAAAAGCAGGAATCATCTGAATCATCACTTCTAGTGACATTCACCTCATTGGTCTTTGGGCCTTTCTTCCTTCTATTCTCATTCTCTCTGAGCTTCGAACAATCTCTCTTCCAATGTCCTTGTTTCTTATAAAAAACACACTTGTTCTTCGCTAATTGGTAGTGGCCCCTTGACTTTGACCTGTCTCGATTGTCACCTTTTGGATTAGGACTTCTTCCTCTCGTCGACAAGGCCTCTCCCGAAGTGCTATCTTTGAAAGTCTCTTTGTCATTCCTCTTCAAATCAAAGTTCATCATTGTATTAGTCACTTCACTCTATGTGATGGAAGGTCTACCGTTCAACAAAGTGAGCATGAATGTATCATATTCCTCATCGGGTAAGGAGTCTAACAAAATAATTGATTTGTACTCATCTATTATCTTCTCATCAATGTTCGCCAAGTCCGACAACAACTTTGTGTAGTTGTTCATATGATCTGCAAGTGAGGTACCCCTGGACATCTGGAATCTACACAATCCTCGTAGCAAGTGTAACCGATTCTCAACACTCTTCGCAAGATATTTGCTGTTGAGAATCTCCCACATCTTCGTCGCAGACGTCACGCCAATCACATCATACTTCAGCTCTTGTTGCAAACATGACTTGATCACCCCATAAGCGTTCATATTAATCTTGTCCTATATCGCCTCATCGTATTTTGGTGGCCTCTCATGGACCATGATGGTCTCTTCCAAATTTTAAGCATCGAGAGCGTCCTGTACGTTGCTCATCCACAAACCAAAATTGATCTTGCTATCATACTTCACAACACTATTCTTCGTATTCTGAAGTGCAACCTGAACTGTACTCGACGTAGCCTTTCTGTTTTCACCACTTTCTCTTGCCATTGCTTGCTAACTCCAATTGTAAAGAAAGATTCAAACTTGATATAATTGAGAAATTACCCAACTGAATCCTAGATATGATTCCAACTAGATCTCCTAACCACACGAGGAAATCGAGATCTTCAACGGCAACTCCACAACACTATCTCCACCGAAGCCTAGAACTCCAAGAACCAAGCTTCCAAAATGAATCTTCCTCCACCAAATATAAAACCCTAGATCTGAAACCTAAGAGATCTAATACCAATTGTTTTGCACCGTGCGGAAGCATGCTCGCAAACCAAAGGAGTCGGCAAGCAAGAGGGGAAAACCAAACACAAGTGCAATTCACCAAAATACGACACAAATCAAACCGCAAACACAGATAATTTACATGGTTCGGAAAATTGCCTACGTTCACAGGGAAAGGATAGAGAGATTTCACTATATGGAGGAGAAATACAAATGGTTACAACTCACACAATTTCTCAAATATAATCCTAAACAAAACTCTCAACTCCCTCACAATATTTCTCTCTCAATGTGCTCAATAGGCTCTCTTTTCTCGCTCTTTTTTCTCTCTAATTCTCTGATCATAATCTCTTCTAAACCTTTACATATATATAAAAATCCTAAAATCAAAAACATACTTGGAGTCCAACAATTCTAAAATCAAAATTAAAACATATTAGGAATCCCAATAACCTGTTATCAAAATAGATTAGGAATCGCAATAACCTGCTATCAAAACAGATTAGGAATTCCAATAACCTGTTACAACAGATTAGGAACCAGCTATCCAACATATATGATCATTAGAATGCATAACACAGATCAGAAAAAGATTCACAGATTGAAGGGTAAGTATTTTTATATGCATGAATTTAATTCTTCTCAAAATTTTACTGGAGGGAAGATTTTTACTATACAAGATATTCAAGAAATGGGAGGAGCCTACAATGCTTTTCTGCAAACTACACTACCTGAGAATCTTCGGATTTATGATCCGACGAAAGAAATAAGGGAGTCGGCTCATAAAATTTTCATCTTCGTGTTCCCTTGTGGGTTTGCATTCGAGATACTTCATGTCTACAGCGGTCCACCAACAATTGTGTACAAGTTTGGGCACTGGGCTTTTATGGAAGGCCCTTTCAAAGGACTTTCTCCTATTGGAAGGTTGAACTTTTTGGGATTTCAATCCTTAAGGTACCTGCATTACCCTTCTTTAATTTTCCTTCAATTAATGCATGTTTGCATGGGTTTACATCTATAATCAGTGCATTAGTATGGTCCCGATATAACTTACATATATCAAGGTTGTATTTGACATTTATGCTGACAATTTTACAAACTTATCCTCCACGGCTTATTTTAGTGGAGTTATAAATAGTAAACACAAGAAAAATTATGAAAATGAACTTGTAAAGTGTGAAATCCGTTGGTGCCCGGTAACAACCCTAGATACGATACATAACTCCATCACTACATTTACGTGATGTATTTCATTAATATGGTACATATATATTAAACATATTAGTGTTTTTTAATCTTGAACGCACACCATTCAGTTAATAAATCCATTTTACGTTCTTTTAATATTCAATTTATATACGGGCAGATTGATGAAGACATGAAAATTGAAAATGTAGAATTTTTCTATGACGGAAACGCATTGTTGGCAGGCTTTCTCAACGGTGGACTGAGGGACGATTACTTAACGGCTTCTACTGGTTGCCCTTTCATGAGCACTAAATAAATCACTCAAAAATATGTATGACTATTACGCATTCAACACCTTATCGTGTCTTTCAAAGTGTGGTTAACGAAAACTGTTATTCATAGTTATGTATTACGTATTTCCAAATTATAATGTGCTTGTTATGAATAATCACAAGATATTTTCTTATTCAAACATGGTTTCTTTCGCTCAAAATGTTGGAAAAGTAGTTGGAAAAAAATTGAATTTTCTATGTCTTAATTCTGCTTTTGTGTTTTTCTTATGTTGAACAATTAAATGAGCTTTATTAATTCATTGATTACCATGAATACCTCTGGCTCTCTATTTATGAGTTTATAATAATATAAGATAGGTTTAGTTGATGTGGCACTAAACATGTAGACTTAAGGCTCAATGCTTTTAATATTCCTGCTCAAGCTGGCACATAATATATCATACATCAATGCCTCGCACAAATAACTCATACTTGATTTTTACAATGATTTGATGAATTAATAATCTGTCAACTCATTTATGATCCTGACATATTCACTGTCTATTTTGGGATCCTCAGTTTTCTATCCTCCTCTTCGACCGCATGGTGGTTGTCACCAGGACCGGCTTAAGGCATAGGCCACTAAGGCATATGCCTAGGGCTCCCATTTTATTGGGGCCCCCAAAAATATATTCTCTATAATATATGTATATATAATAAAATAAAATTATTAATTTATTTTGGAAATATAAGAAGTTGACTATTGTTAGGATTCTAAATTTTCTTTAATTGATCATTTATTGCTATAATTATCTTTATCTTTGGAAAAGAACACTAATAAAGTTTAATTGTAACTTTTTATATTTTATTTCTATAATCAATTAGATTGTAATGGTAAAAAAACACATATTAAATATTTATTCTCGTTTATGCATAGTTTATGCGTTTTTTCTCTTGCTAACTTCCTTTGTTCTCTTCTCAGTCACTCACCTTTTCGCACTCACTCATCTTTCATATTTTTTTTATTTTTTATATTCAACATACATAATTGCAATTCTAATCCATAAGACCCCAAAATAAAAGGTAAGCTTGTTGGTTTTTATTTATTTTAATAAATTTACATTCATTCTCCTCATATTATCTTTTATTCAACTAAATTGATTAGATTTTAATCCTTACATGGTGTTTTTAATTTGGGGCAATTATTCCTAGATGCTCATTCTAATTAATCTAAATAAAAATTAATATTTGTTTAATCTTTTATCATATTCATGTAGGTAAACAATGATAGACTTTAAAGTATCATCAAAAATTTATTTTCAGAACTAAAAGTTTTAAAAGAAATAATAAATCTTGAATTAAAAACAGCACTTGAGATACTAAACCTTATAAAAAAATTAAATTCTTTTCCCAATGCATGGTTAGCTTATAGAATACTACTCAGAATACCTGTTAGTATAGCTTCAGCAGAAAGAAGTTTTTCAAAACTATAATTAATAACATCTTATTTACACTCAACAATGTCTCAAGAAAGATTAAATAATTTGGCAATTTTATCAATTGAAAAGGATTTATTATCAAAACATGAATTTAAAATTTTAATTAGTAACTTTGCATCTCAAAAAGCTAGAAAATTAAATTTTATATAAAATCTATTTTTTAAAAACTAATATTTAATTTTAAAAAATATTAAGTACCTACATATTTTTCTCTACCTAGTACCTCAAAAATGCTTGAGGCGGCCCTAGTTGTCACGCCCTGGTTCCAAAATGTAATAGTTTGGAACGTGTCTCGGTCGGTAATGCAATCATACAGCCACATTCACGCCTCTGGATCATCCTATATATCAATATAATGCCAAAACCACAACATAGAGCATGTAATCAAGATATTAAAAGAAATGTATAGATAAGAAATCTCCTAAAGAACAGAGTCCAAATACGAGTTCACAACTATCCACGATGGGGAAGAGTAAAGAAAACTTTACATCATAGTTTAGAAAAAAAATGACGCGTGACTCAAGAGAAAACCTAAACCAATTAACTGCTTAAAGCAACTAAACTGAAGAACTGATAGAATGAACAGTGATCACTGCTAATGAGCTTGCCCCTCGAAATACTCTCGATCCTGCGAATAAAGAACAGTTCCCAATTCTGGGGCGCACAAATCTTAGAAGAGTCAGAAAACTCCCAAAAAGCATGTAAAATGAAGGAATTGTGCGCATATAAGTGTAATGTGACATAGATAAAGAAAAATGAAAACTCAATTAAAGATGATAAAAAATGCTAATTATAGATATCAAATAAGGTCAACCACAAGTCACACAAGCGCTTTCTTATTACTTTAGATGTTATTTGAATTAGAGAAGAATATTTCATGTACATCAGTCGATTTCCCGTAAACCGTCCTGGGAACACGGATGCAAGTTAGGATGGGCCCCTTAATATATATATATATATATATATATATATATATATATATATATATATATGTATATATATATATATATATGTATATATATATATATATATTATATATATATAGTATATAAATCTATATTAGTATATATTATATATATAATGTATATATATATATATATATATATATGTATATATATATATATATATGTATATATATATATATATATGTATATATCATATATATATATATATATACATAGATATATATATATATATATATACATAGATATATATATATACTAATAATATATATATACATAGATATATATATATATATATATATATATATATATATATATATAGTATATATATATATATATATATATATAATATATATAATATATATATATATATATATATATATATATATATATATATATATATATATATATATATATATATATATATATATATATATTATATATATATATATATAATATATATATATATATATAAGTTAATATTAATAATATATATATATATATATATATATATTATATATATATATACGTGTTATACTCTCCATCAATTCCTCTTTATAAACCCCCATGTTTTTGTTTAATCTAAGTGACTGTACATGAAATGTTGTTCACTAACCACATAGTAAACATTGAACGGCTTCCATAAAACTATGAAAGATAACCGTGACCCAGAACATGTCCAATCAAGAGGGGTGCATCGTCTAGTGGATGCTACAGTAGTAATAGCTAAGGAAAAATCTCATATCTGAATATCGATATCGAGAACATGGCTATGCTATAAAAGCACGCTTATAAATCACATTTTTAAAGAAGTCGTCTTCATACACAATCAATCCTATTAAACATCACTTGGTGACCAAATATAGCATCAGTCGATCCAAGAAGCATCAAGAGATCAAATAATGTCATCAATCATCTTATTAAACGGAAAATGACTAATTAGCATATTTGTTTAGTGTCAAGCAGGCCAAACAAATTTTAAAATTGACTCCATATAAATCTGTAAAACTGATTTTAGTGGGAAAGACGCATAAACAGGTCTAAAATAGGATTTTTGATCCCAACTTGGTCAAACGAGTCAGTAATTTGGGGTTATAGGTCCAAACTGTCTGGGAAACGGATAACGTGTTTGTAATTTGGAGTTATAGATCCAAACGGGTTTGGAAAATGGATAACGGGTCAGCAATTTAGTAACGGGTCCAAACAGGTCGGGTTTGAGGAGTTATAGACCCAATTGGGTTGGGTATTGCTGTATCTTGGATACAAACGGGTCTACTTTAATAGCGGGTCCGAACCGGGTCAGGTTCGAGTTCAAACTGACCAAAAATACATTTCTTTGTGAAAAATAAAGACTCTAGAACTTGATCCACAGACCCTTGTGTCATTGTCCAAAGCTACTAATCACAACAACCAGTCACAGTTTCATGTTCAAGGGAATGCAAGCAAAAACTAAATCTTGCTTTTCTGCAAAATTCCTAAATAATTTTTTTTTCAAATAAGTAAATGATAAAGTTTATAAATCTTATATAAATCAAAATTTTATCTTTTGCTCTATACGAAAATTAGTTGATATTAATAGTATTAATAATAATGTTAAGATCATGGAGGGAACAATATAATAAATAAATAAGTTAGTGAAAAAATTGATCCTAGGATTATAAATCCTATTATTCATTTCCCAAATAAGAATATAACAATCAAAAATGAAAAAATCTCAATTTATATTAAACATGAATTCCACTATTTATTTCTATGAAAGGAAAAAAAATGAGTCGCATGAAGAACAAGCTAAAAAAAATTTAAGAAAATAATTGAGGAAAGAGATGCTTGCCGATCCGTTAAAGAAAAGATTATAAGCCCCAAAGCCAAGAGGAAACTCCAAACCTCGTCCCTCTCCTTCTCTTTTTTCTCTGTAGTTTTTTTTAAAAGCTATTGTAAAGAAAAAGTGGAGGAGATGTATATAGATTTTAAAGAGATGGAATAGTTAAGAGGTTAGAGATTTTCTAGGATTCTAAACATGGGAAATGGAAAAATTGGTTAAGTGGTTAAAGATTTTATTTTTATTTTTTCTATTTTTTATTTTTTTAATGTGGGAGATATTTCCAAAAAAAAAATCTCTAACAAAACTCATACGTGAGAGGAAAACAAGGGGAAGGAAAAAAATGGAAGCTGGGCCTTCTTGATTCTAATAAC